CACTGGCCTGCCTTCCAGTGTGTTGTCTTTTTTCTAATCATTTTTTCTTTCCCTCCCTTTTGCTCTTTTCCTCTACCCACCCTTCCCCAATTGCATGTGCTCATTTTTTCCACTCTCTCTTGGGAAACAAGGCTCTCTTTTCTATGTAGCAGTGCCTGTGTATGTGTACATAAGAGAGTGTGTGTGTAAAGTGGAGAGAAAATTGGACGTGTACTCAAAAAAGAATGCTTAGTGTGTATTTCACATCTGGCAAACTCCATAACTTTGATTAATATTGGGTTGTTGATTTTTTTGTGTCTTTCTGTCTGTATGTGAGCATGCGTGGGCAGTATTGTGAGAGCTGTAATAGTTTTCGACCCTCCTGACCTCATTCAGAAACAGTCGCTTGTTTAAATCTTTAGTTCCCGACAGGCTCGCTGGGTCAGTCAAAGCCTCCAGCAGTAACAACAGAGATGTTTCAGTCTCATGGAAATGCACTATATCCAAAACATAGCTAGCTAAGGGCTGTTAAGATGTAGCTAACATATGCATTCTCTATTACCATAGCTTTATCCCTTTGTCCCAGGCACTTTTTATGAATACATATCTCTGTAGCCTTACATTTACATTCTTCATGTTATACAGTATAAAGTATACATTTATTTATTTTGTGATCCTTAAAGTTCTCTTATATCTCCCACCTCAACTCCACTAATACCTGGGCAGAGATTTGTAATTTAGGATCAATTGGTAGTGGTGTGATGGCTCTGTGGTAAGCTCTGTCGCATCAGAACCCAATGGTTCTTGGTTTGATTGAACTGGCTGAAGGCCTTTTTGTTGGAGATGTTGGAGCATGGACTGTGTGAGTTTCCTCCAAAGTCATTGGATCAGAAAATTGCATGCCTTAGTGTTGATTTCATTGACATTTGAAAATGTATGCAGTGTGTCTTCACTGCAGTCAGCAGTTACTAAGTTATTGTCAGTCACTCCAACACTTTGTTCTTTGTTCACATGCTATTTTGGTTGTCCTTTAACTTTAAATTAAACTGGACTCTTGACATTTTCTCACCAATTTGCTAGCTACTGAGTAACCTCTGACTTTTGTAGCAGCCGGGGGTAAAGAGGCTTACTGAAAGGGTACCTTGGTGATGGATCCTGAGATGTCAGTGTTAGTCATTCACTTCCCCTCCAAATTTTTCTTTGTTTGTCTGGGATATAAAACCAGCAACTTCCAGGTCATGTCTGTTTCTGTTGGGCCCCAGTGCCTCCTACATACTGCACATCCGGACTGAGTCAGTTTATCAAGAATTATGTTCACACACATTCACAACTCAGAGCTGCTCAGTGCAGGTACAGTAAGGCCTTGTACTGCTAAGCAGCAACAGTGGAGAATTAAGGGGCGAGGCTTCCGCTTCCTTTTAGCTGCAGTACGAGAATTTTTAAGAACCTAACACTTCCTCTCTCTAAAATTCTGTATTTTAAGTGTCACTCGGCTCAAAATAGCATCTAGTCTACCTTTGTAGGCTGAGTGGCATACATGTACATATATCACAGCATGCTCCGGTTCAGTCATTCAGGGTCTGAGTGTGACATTCAGCCTGACATTCAGCAATGTAAAAAGGAACATGAACACAAACAAAACTCATCTCCCTAAGAATGATTAATATGAAAGCAAAAACTGGGAGGCCACAGTATATTCCTGTCCTGGAGTTAAATGCACATATTCATACTCACCTAAGAGAAGTTCATGTTTCTGTGCATTTTGCTTTTATGGAATTACTCCACAGAAACAGACGCAACTAAACATTGCATAGTAAAATGAGAGGCTGCCTTAAATCGCAGGCATGCCATAACTATTAATTCAAGATTATGTTGAAAAGAGACTAAAGCTACAAGAGACCATGTTAAGGAACTTAAAGGCTCACAAGCTGTGGAGGAATTCTGTGGGATTCTTATGCTGCTTTGGGAATTCGGATGTAGGCTGGTATGCCCTGTGGGTCCTGCTACTCTGGTGTGGTATGTGTGTAACTCTTTGGTGCAAAACAGCCTTGATAATATAAAAGCTTTAGTAAGTGTTTGTTCGTACAATTCTTTCAGGCACAGGTCCAACGTGAGGCTTGACTGACAGCCTCTTGGAAAATGTTACCCTTTGTAATCTGTTATAACAAGGCCCCTTGAAGAGAAATGGCACTAGTTTCAGCTATTGTTTTCTCGGTTAGACAGTTTAGTGTTATAGACTGATTTACTGAACACTGTGTCCCTTTGCTGAAAACACAGGACACCTAATGACTGGCTTCATGGTGTCATGATACTGACTGCTCCTTCATAAAGCGTGTTTTTCTTTCAGCTGACTGTATCTCAGCAGATAATTTGAGATCTTTAGATATAATAAATGTTATTAATCTAAAGTACAACAGTGTTTACTCCCTTTGCAATGACTATACTATTTGCCAGCTGTCACGTTGCTAACTTGCCTGCCACACTACCTAGTAATTAATAAATTAAGATGTATAGACGGGAGCAGTTGAGCGGGGTAGATTAAAAATTACACTATTAAGACTTTTGTTCAAATCTCACAAGATGCGCTTTAAGAGGAAGTGTATGAAACCCATAGATTGAAACTGCTAAACAAATGTGTCAGTGGAGCAATTCAGCTTAAATGACGCAAGCGGGTGGGCAGTTTTGCAAGCTGTGGTTTTTCTGTTTAAATTTTATACTTATTTTAAAATGAGTTGTATAACTGAATTTGCACTTGAAGTGTGAAAACTTTGAGAATGAATGCATTTTTGTACAGTTGACAATTCAAAACACCTGCTGCATTAGGTGAATACCTTTATAAATGACTTGAGATTGGTGTTTTGTCTATGTCAGCATAGTGATGTGTTCACACATCAAACACAATTTTTGTATTGTGTTATTCACACGACTTTGACCGCTGGGGTGTGTTTTTTGCAACTGGCAAGTGTTCACCTTTCATAACCGTGCTAACGGTTGTGCTAACTAACTGTGGAAAGCAGCTAACGGTTAACTTGGTTTGCAGTAAAGTACAGTAAGGATAGACCGATACATCGGCCGGCCGTTATATTGGGCCGATATTTGAGTTTTTTACTTGTATCGGCATTGGCCGATACGCACGTGGGTTCGCGGATTTATTTTTCCCTGGCACTTTTTTTCATTTGAAAGTATGTGGTTAAGTTGAACAAAGCTGTTGAATCCTACTGTGTACAGTAGTTGTTGTTTTATTTATGCTTCAGCTTAAATATTTGTTTATTTTATAAAGACATTACTGGAAGATTTAAGAGCACTGAACTCTTTTTTTTATTTGAATGTATAGTAATAATAATAATAATATTCTACCTGTTCTACCTCAACTTTCCATCTTGTTTTAGTATTTTTTACTGTTCAATAAATGTTTCTTATTTTAAACTTGAGACCTGTAATATTTGTTATCATTGTGTCATTTTTTTTGATGTAAACTGAGGGAGCAAAAGCAGTATCGGCCCTAAATATCAGCTCAAGAAAATCGGCAGTCCATAATCGGTCATCGGCTAAGGGTGATGGAAAAAAATTGGTATCGGCATCGGCCCTAAAAAATCCATATCGGTCTATCCCTAAAGTACAGCCAATAGCTGGAATCAAATGATATGAACATGGGGGCTCTGCTCTCTGAACCAGCATGAACCACGACGGCAACACTCTGTTATCCTTTATACTGTCAAGACAGTGCATTACCGCTTCACTCCTTCCATTATTTTCTTTCCACAATAAAAGATCAAATTAAATTACAGAATTTATTGTGTAGTCCTATGGTTTTGCTCACTGATCTCCACGCCCTCTCCTTGTTTGTCCTGTCTCCGTGCAGTACTGACGTTGAATGGCAGAACTACGGACACCCTACACTGTTTGTTGCTATTCTTAGTAACTTCAGGAGAATATCACCTGGATCTCAATGGTGATAGGCTTTGTCACTACAGTGTCATGTAAATTTCTTGCTCAAGTAGAAAAATTTCTACATTCATAAATATGCGAACAATGCAAATTTCGCGCCTTCACGTCACTCATGTTGCGTTGCCTGGCACAAATTTGTGTCTGTTTGCGTCTTTGCATTGACTTTGTATACTTGATGCTAGTCAAGATTGACTTTGAAACATTTATAGCAGTTAAAGATAGAAAAGGTGGAATTTATTTTTGCAAAGACGTTATTTGGAAACAACAGAAAAAGATCCCTGAATGGTCGGCAATGTCCAACTAAACAGAGCGTAAACAAAGCAATAGAATGGTGAGGCTTTTTTGTCAACCATTCGGTCAGCAATTGCCCCAGAGGTTCACCCTTTACTAAAAAAACAGAAAAGGAAATACTACAATCTATTCAAACAAAGCTGTTAAAACTTGACTAACTGTACCTATAGGAGATTAAATGTACCCCACTTTTATCTTCTCACAATCGGCAAGACTAATGCTGCTAGTGTTGGCAATTGTATGATGTAGTGCTCCAAAAGTCCTTTGAAGAATGGCCACAGACCCAGATATATACAGCCAACTAAGTAGAGACGGACGGGAATAAGGACTAGCCAGCCAGGGTTTAAGGGCATTCTTTGTGTCGGAAAAATCAATATGAAAATGGTAAATGCAAAGAGACTTCACTGCTTATCTTCTACCCTCTGTTTTTTCCCCCAACACTGGGACTTTTTGTTTGTCTTGGAAATGTCATCCTTTTGATTTTCATTTTCTCTCTGGTAATCCCAAACTGTGCACATGAGAGCAGGATGAGGGAATGAGACACTCAGTTTCCTCTTCCCTCATTATTGGCAGGTAGTTTCCAAAGTTATGTCTTGAGTAGAAACTTCTGCTTCCTCTGTAGTTTCCATCTGAGGACAGTGTTAGCCACAGACTCTCTTCCTTCTTGTTTTAAGTGCAGAACTTAAGCAATCAAAGTACAAGATGTGGGTGTGCGGTGTGTCTGTGTGCACATGCCTCTGTGTGTGTGTTGTTCTAACTGTGAGTCTGTATCTTTGTTCCAGGAGGCTTAGGTGAGTGGTCACCATGGCACCCTTCCTGCGAATCTCCTTTAATGCTTATGATGTGGGCGCTCTGCCTCCTCTGTCTGAACCTCCCATCTGTGCCATCAAGATGAAGGAGTCTGTCAACACTGGTATGTACAGATGCAAACATACACGCAGTCATAATTTTATCTGGATAGAGGAGACTGGACGTCCTAAATTTAATTGCCTTAACAGCCACCATCTGCTGGCTTCAGAAACCCACAAGCTCATGCTCCACCAACTCCAGACACTTTGTGCTGTAGCCACTCCTTTGCTGTTCTCAGTAATGAATGATCCCAATCTTCTTTCACAGAGCGAGGAAAGACCTTGGTCCAGAGGAAGCCAACCATGTATCCAGCATGGAAGTCCACTTTTGATGCTCACATCTATGAGGGGCGCGTTCTAGAAGTGGTCCTCATGCAGAGCGCTGAGGAGCCATTGGCCAAGGCCACAGTGGGCGTGTCTGTACTTGCAGAACGCTGTAAGAAGTCCAAGACCAACGGTCGTGCTGAGTTCTGGGTGGACCTGCATCCTTCAGGAAGGGTCCAGATGGCTGTACAATTCTTCCTGGAGGACGCTGATGCAGGTAAACCTGCTGCATCTAAATGGTCGTGGCAAACCTGCTTTTAAATCTGAAGTATTTTGCTAACATAAAATAAATATGCATGACTAAGTAAGCTAGTTAAAGGTAAGGAGCAACTATCCTTAGATGATATTTGTGAAGAGTCACGCCATATAATCCATGTAATCTATCGAATCGTGTGGGTGTGGTTTAATCTGATTTAACTGACAATGGCTTAGAAACTAAGCAAACAACCCCACAACTTTCATCACGTTTAGGTTCAGATATCGCTAAATCCTAATAGGAAATATGTGACGTCACATCACCTTTTTATTACTGAGCCTAACCACTTCAAACTAGTGTGAACAGCACAGACAGAAATCTCCCAGGTAAAATAACCAAAACAAATTCAATTTTGGCAAGAAATTCTGTGTGTCCTTGTACGACCCCATCTCTCAATGAAGTGGACGTGGATGATTAGGAAATACATTATGATTACACAGCCTTAAAAACAGTGTTCCCTGACCGGGAATCGAACCCGGGCCACGGCGGTGAGAGCGCCGAATCCTAACCACTAGACCACCAGGGAGTGGATGTTAGCATGAAAGAAGCTAGTTTGCTATGCACAGCTGTTAGGAACTGTCCATGGCCCCTTCTCCTCTCTGACTACTCTCATGAACACCCACAGAGTGTCACTCTCCTTCAGTGTTGATATGCAATGCCCTCTACTGGCAGAAAAGATTCCTCACCATTTCCTTGAAGTTTCTACACACAACTACACTTTAACATATTTGTTATTGCGGACCTCTCTGTGGATTGTGAGGTCACCAACTGCCCTACAATAAACTTCCTACCTGAAAACTTCCAAGGGTTAATCTGCATGCTGGCAGCATATCTCACACTAAGCCTGTCAGGTGACTAGAGGTGTGACCATATAGCCAATGCACTGGAACAATCCTTCAGGGTCATGTAGGAGTTTAGCCTCAGGGCTGACTGTACTTGAAATATATGGCTCAGCACATGTAACAACAAGTGTTAATGGCTGTTTCTCTTGATACAGATGTGTTCACAAGGACTAGGGATTAAACAAGTACATACAGTATAGTGCTGTGACAATGTCACAATACTGCAATTTCTAACTTTGATACAATACCTTGAAAAGTATTGATATTCCATATATTTTCAGTACTATAGGGAAAAAATTGGCATAAAACTGACTTTTTTACGAAAAGAAAAATATGATAAGGCTACAACATGACAAAGATTTTTCTTTTCTTGGTTAGTAGCAGAGAACAGCAGAATGACTGTAGTAAACATTAACAAAAAGAGGAAGCAAGAAAGCTGAAATTGGTGTATCGATACTGCAGAAAATTTGTATTTAAAGCGTTTAAAATATTTACAATTGATGTGAATCAATAACTTGGTATTTTTGACATCACTAATACAGTATATTAAGCTTGTATAGATATTGTATGCTGACTTTTTTTTATTATGTGTTTCAATGAGTTTTAGATCTTCAGGGTCTATCCTGTCATGAATCAGGTAAAATATTAAATCATTAGCATATTTGGTATGATAAGGCAATTTTAAAAACTTAAATAGCAAAAAAATCATTCACCCATGGCAGCTTGACATCGAAATCGTACTGCAATAATTATCTGCTTTCAAAAACCTATTTTAGTTTCACTTCTGCTTAACACAGATGTTAGGCAGCACAGTGCTGTATTCAGCTGTGAGCTTACCACTTCAGACAGGGAGATCAGTCCGTGGCAGTCACTGCTGTCTGCCAACATGGAGTAGGATTCATAAACTAGTTCTGGTCAGGGGGAATTTCCACATGGGAGCAGCACAGTCGGGGTTCACTGTTCAGGGTTGGAGAGGGTCATGAGAGGGCAGTGTGTATGCTGTTACAAAAGAGCCCATTACTCCATCAGTTCCCTCCTACACATGCTGCAGGTTTCCTGAAAAGCAGCCCGGAGTGTTTTTAGGCATGTGTGAACAACCCTCAACACTGTCTGCCTCCCCCCTGTTTGTCTTCTTTCTCTTGCCCTCTGTCTCACTCCCACTGTCTTGGCTCAGCTCACTGAAGCGCTGTCCAAACATAAACATCTGTCAGTAGAATGGCAGAGAGGAAATTAGTTTATCTTGCTCACCTCATCACTCTTCCCACTTTTCCCTGTCTATCAATTGTCTCTTTAAGGCTACTCCTTTTTTTGAATTGTTCCTCTATCTCTCTCCCTCCCTCCTCCCCCGTCTACTCATTTACCCTCTCTATCTCCTCCAGAGTTTCTGCCTTCTTTGTTTACCTCTCTCATGCCTCTTTTGCCGTCTTCTCTGGGTGACTTTTGACCCCACCCCGTTGACTTGCGTCAGTCGAAGCCGCTTAGCCAAGATGGCATTTTTCTGTGTTTACTCCTCCATTTAGCAGCAGCAACAGTGGTCTCCTTCTATAGCAAGGAGAGCCTTTTGACTCGGTACCTCCTGGCCATTAGAGCTGATGACTAATTTATGATAATGCACAGTGTGACGTCATTTAAAGAACAACTCCATCTTCAGTGTATCCCTGATATCTTTTGTATTTGTCTTTGGAAATCATTAAAAAGGTGTATTTGGATAATACTGAATTTTAACACTGTTTGAAAAGCAAGTTTTTAAATATAACAGAAAAACAGTTCTACTATTGACATGCAAGTTTTTAACAGAATAGAAATACAGTAATTTGATTTGTATATCGATCTCTCCTCTTAGCGATAAGTCAAGCATCGGTGAAGGTTTCTCCTGAGGATGGACTCACAACCCTTAACAGGAGGAGAGGAGCATTCAAGCAGCCCAAGGTTCACGTCATCAAGAACCACGAGTTCACCGCCACATTCTTCGGCCAGCCCACCTTCTGCTCTGTCTGCAAAGAGTTCGTCTGGTGAGATGCCGGCCTCGGTTAAATTATAGCTTATATGTCGCCATGTTATGTTTGTGTACTTTATCTGGCTAACACATCAAATATGCTGTTTACTTTGACCTTCAGTATGTTTTGAGTATCCACTACCTTCCAAGGAGAGACGACGGCAGTAATTTCCAACGCTACTCTGTTTGGGCTTGACTTATCCAGAAACAGCCAATTTGTCTGTCTGCTTGTTTTTCTGCATTATTATTACAATCAGCGTTGTTTTTGTACGAAGATGCCTGCAGCACAGCTTTGATAATTCCAGACCATTTATGCTGTCATCTACTGTATGTTCTCTGGGTACCAAATGAGACAAAAACATTAGTTGCCCAATAAGAAAAGTCCTGCTCCCATGGGTGCTTCTCAAAAGACCAATTAGTAGCGGTTCTAGTTTCGTAGAGGGGGTTGGGGGGTTGTAATGGTAGATACAACAGCAGGACAACTATTGTGAGAATGAGTCACCGTCTAGGGAAATCCCACAAAGCTGTCATGTTGTGTTCCAACTATGTCAGCAGCACTAACCTGTGAGCCAAGCTCCTCCTCCGATCTCCCAAACTCACGTATTGTCTTTCCCCCAATAGACTGACAGAATGAGATCTGATGTTTTCACTGTGGCCACTTACCATCTGAGCATTTTTATATGTACAAGTTTCAATTTAACATGTGATAGATGTCCTCCAGTGATACTGGTAACAATTAAAACCCTTGAGTCACTGCTGTGCCAACTCAAGCAACAGGTCCCTCGTGCTTTTCTCATGCTTGTTTTTGTACTTGCAGATAGGGTTGAAACAGTCACTGGTTTCAGATAAACCCTGGTGAAATTCCTGACTATTAGTATTATCGTTTTAAAATTTAACTCATTAAAACCATGTTTGAGTACGGCGCTCTAAAAAACTCACGGCACAAACTGTCCGCAATCAACCAAAGTTAGCAACAGTCTCCCAGACACAGGTCCAGCATGTAGCGTGGGTTTGTTTACAAAGTAGGCATGCAGCAGGCAAATCCTGGTCCCTCTTCGTCATCTACAGTGACACAGACACTCGAGCAAGCATTTCAAGACAGGCTATCTTTAATTAATGCACATTAGATATGTTTTTTTTACATAGTATTTTGGCTATATAATTTTTATGCAGTGTTTTAATGTTTATGCAAACAATAAGTGTGTATTGCTGCTAGTTTTATTTGTGGTTTTCAATATAAACCATGGTGAATCAGTAATTTTTAGACATTTTCAGCACATGTTAAAGATACCAAGATAATACTGACAGTTGTGATAATTTTGGTCACTGTAGTCTGTATGAGATTTTCATACTGTTTCATCTCTATCTGCATAATAATTTGGAGAAAAGTATGCAGGCAGTACAGATATAGTTTGATAGCATTTGCAGGAAGAGAACGTAAATCTGTGCTTTACTGCTGCTAATTATCTGCAGCTAGTTATAGTATATCACTGTCATGACTACAATCCTGATATTGAAAACCATCCGGGATATATTGCTCTAACATCTGGAGCCATATTTTTCTGAGTTATGGCTAACAAAAATTCTTTTTCTCTGCTTCATGTCACCCATTACAAGGCTGTAATCACATTCATTTTCTCCCATACAGGGGGCTCAACAAGCAAGGTTACAAGTGCAGACGTGAGTGTTTCACTAACTGTATTTTTTTATCACATTTTATCCTTTTGTATTCTTCACAGTTAACACAGTATTTATTATTTATTTCACCCAGAATGCAATGCGGCAATCCACAAGAAATGCATTGACAAAATCATTGGCAGGTGCACTGGGACAGCGGCCAACAGTCGTGACACTATGGTGAGCAAAGTTAATGTTTTCCAACATCGCTACAAAATCTCACCTCAGATCTGACACTAACAATGAACTGTATTCTGTTTTACAGCATTAGCTTTTATTACTTTCCCCAGCTATGGCTCAGTAATGACTCTATATTCCCTACTGCTTTATTTTATGGCATATGGCTCATACTGCTATGAAGTAGACCATTAATCATTAATTTTGTCAAGACGTTTTTACCTTACACAAAAAAATGCAAACCGTTTCTCATGAATTTTTCAGAACAACACAGATTCAACCAAAGTTTACTAACAACGTCAATATTTGATTCAATATTTAAGTTTTGGCTTCACATCCAATTTCATTTAGATTTTTACTTGCAACTAAACCTGGCCAAACACATAGTGTAGAAACACATAACTTTTGGTGGGTTCAATCGATCTCTGTGTGATTGTAGTTCCAGAAAGAGCGCTTCAAGATTGACATGCCGCATCGCTTCAAGCACTACAACTATAAGAGCCCCACTTTCTGTGACCACTGTGGTAGTCTGCTGTGGGGTCTCTACAAACAGGGCCTTAAATGTGAAGGTGGGTCTAATGTGTTCTTTGTGGGGGTTTTTTTTTTTTTACTTTTGTTTTAAATGTTAAAATCTACCCTTCTCCTATTGCCTCTAACACCTCTGATATTTATCTCTTCCATTGTATTCCCTTTCTCCTCCTGATCCATCCATTTTTCACACCTCTGACCAGACTGTGCCATGAACGTACATAGTTACTGTCAGACAAAAGTGGCCAATCTGTGTGGAATCAACCAGAAACTACTGGCAGAAGCTCTGTCTCAAATCAGCCAGGTTTGTACTGCAACAAACTATATTTATTTTAGTTAGTTTGTGTGTATACATTTTATGCCAGCCAGTGCTAATAAGAAAGTAAGGAAAAATATTGATTTTCGATTTAAAGTAGCAAAAATATTTCAACAAGCTTTTTTTCCATCCCCAGAAATCCATTAAGAAGAGCGATGACTCCAATGCACCAGACATTGGGATCTATCAAGACATCAACAGTGCAAAAGCAGACCCTAGTGGTAAGATTTGTTCATTGTAGAACACATCATCATACAAAGGTGTTTGATTTCAATCAAGTTTTATCTTTAAAGATAAGATAGCAATAGCAATGTCACTGTCAGTCTGTTAAACTGTATTTGCATTCTTAAATCTTTGTCCCTTTTATGAATTTGCATGTATCTTTGCATCCAGGTTTGCATATGTATTTACTCTGTGTGTACAAATGTCTATTTACAGCAGATAAAAATGGCAAGCTGCGTGATGGCTCAAGCCCCGCCCCAGCCACACCTTCAGTCCCCCGGGTACGCCTCAACATGAACCACCTGGTATTCCACAAGGTGCTAGGAAAAGGCAGCTTTGGCAAGGTAGGTGCACGGTCCCTGTCTTTAAATCCTCTCCTGAATTTAAATGAAATGATTGGGTAGACACAAAAAAGGAAGACACTAACCCTAAAAAATTGCACAAACCTGTTATGATTGTTATGTTAGACATGTATCAGGGATAAAACCACATTCATCCTGAAAAATGTCTCCATGTGAATGTTAGCTTTGTAAATGAACATTACCCACCAAATATAACCTTGAAAACAGCAGTGCAATAAGTGGAAACAGTTCATGTCTTCATGTTTTTGGTAGTTTGGAACCATTAGAAGTGGCCTTACTTTGAAATGAAATATGAAATGATGAAAGCTGAATTCTGACACAAGTGAGCTCTGAAGGGCGCACATCTACAAGAGGCAGATTCTTACCATTTTTTCATGCCTAAGTATACTCTGTCATCAGAGTCCATCAGAGTCCCTCCTTCAATTGTGTTTCATATTATAATTGATTTATTAATGACCCCCCCAGCTATAGTTTCTATCTTTTTATAAACTAGGTTTATTAGATCAATACATCTACTCACTGCCTGTTAAATGATGACTTCCCCTGCATCGATGTCAGACTGGGAGATGGTTTTCAGATGAGAAAAGAGCTTAATTATTCATCCATCACTAGATGCCAGGCAACATTTGACAAAAACATATACCTTATGAAGGCTGACCTATTTGAGGGGACAGAAAGGCAGATGATGCAAAGTTCATCTCTATCCAGGCCTAATGTTGCCTGGTGGCAGTGCATTTTAGTGAGATCGAACACCCAGTGTGCTCACTCAGTTAGATTGAGATTCAGCATGTAAGGACATCAAAAGAGAGGGAGCTAGAAATAACCTTATCATATTTATTTTATGTTGCTGTGATTGTAATCCACAAACCTGGTGTGATCATACTGATGAAGTACTCACGTCAAGTGGCTTTGACTCCAGGTGCTGCTGGCAGAGCTGAAGGGGCAGGGCCAGTACTATGCTGTGAAGGTTCTGAAGAAGGACGTCGTGCTCATGGATGATGATGTGGAGTGCACCATGGTGGAGAAGAGAGTCCTGGCCCTCGCCTGGGAGAACCCCTTCCTCACACACCTCTACTCCACGTTCCAGTCTAAAGTAAGCAGACACATACAAACACCACGTTTCCCCTATAAGTGTACAGGAACCCCTGCCTGGCCAAAAGGATCACTGTTTAATGCCAAAATAATGGCAAATATTTATTCACTCAGAAATCATTTACGAGGGACAGAGTCTGGGCTACGCTGAGCTGTCATTTACGTTTCTCTCCTCTTCTGTTAACTGAGCGTGGGGCTTTGACTGCCTGCACGCAGAGCGGGAGAGACAGGTGAAGTGAACGTTGCTCAAGTTGACCACAGTTCTATAGGCTTAATATAATAATGGTGACTAACAAGTTTGTTTTGTCTGCAAATCTTAACAGTTATTATTAAGGGCAAATTCCTTTGTTAAATGTTCTTGCTGTTAAGCCATGTTTCATGTTGGTGGAATCAATTTAATTTGTAATATTAATAATTATAATAATATTGATGAAATTTGTGATTTGCAATTGCACCCCTAGTAATTAATTGGGTTAGCCAACTGGACCCAAGCACCACCACCCACCCAAACACAGCCCATCCACTAGCGCCCTTAAAGCAGTCAACCTAGGGGAAACACTGCTGTACATCTCTTCTAGGAAAGCATATAAGAGCATGTTCTCTGACTCAACCCAGGCAACAGCCAAAAGCGTGACAATTCCCAGTTGTTGATAAAGACCCATACTCCCAGCTCCCGTTACTGAATCTTTTCTCTCTCACACACACTCTCTTCATGTCTCATTTGTCTGCTGCAGTGAGCTGACAATAATGTGTTGTTTGCACAGGAGCACCTCTTCTTTGTAATGGAGTACCTGAATGGAGGTGACTTGATGTTCCACATCCAAGACAAAGGCCGCTTCGATCTCAACAGAGCCACGTAAGTACACTGGAATACTCCTTAAAGAACTATGACTAATACAGGAACTGTCATTCTACACAACAAAGGATCTGTGACTTAAGCTGTGAAACGCAGTAAAACAGTGTTTAATATTTGTTTTGCACATTTTGACCTTCAGATTCTACGCTGCTGAGATTATAGTGGGACTGCAGTTCCTCCACTCCAAAGGAATTATCTACAGGTAAAATCCCACAACCGCACTATACTGGTGTCTGCAGTCTCTTTAATCAAACTGTTAGTGCATCAGAGACTGGAGCTGAATCTCTGTTTGGATTTCAAACAGAATATACTACATCATAACTGGTTGTACATTATATAAATCTCCTCCTGTGTCTTTCCTCAGAGATCTGAAGCTGGACAATGTGATGCTGGACAAGGACGGACACATAAAGATAGCAGACTTTGGCATGTGCAAAGAGAATGTGGTTGGAGACGCCAGAGCCACCACATTTTGTGGGACCCCAGACTATATCGCACCAGAGGTTAGTTTCAGGGCCTGGCTGATGTCATGATTCACAGCATTACTTTTCCCTCAAAATCCTTAAAGGGACAGTTCACCCCAAAATCAGAAATCAGAAATGCCCTCCAAAAGTATTGGAACAGTGAGTCCAATTCGTTTACTTTTGTTGTAGACTGAAAACATTTGGGTTTGACATCAAAAGATGAATATGAGACAAGAGATCAACATTTCAGCTTTTATTTCCAGGTATTTACATCTGGATCTGATACACAACTTAGAAGATAGCATTATTTGTAATGGAACACAAAATTTTTAGGTGAGCAAAAGTATTGGAACATATAAACTTAAAATAGATTAAAGTGAATGAGACTTAATATTTAGTTGCAAATCCTTTGCTTTCAATAACTGCATCAAGCCTGTGACCCATTGACATCACCAAACTTTTGCATTCTTCTTTTGTGATGCTTTTCCAGGCTTTCACCGCAGCCTCTTTCAGTTGTTGTTTGTTTTGGGGGGTTACTCCCTTCAGTCTCCTCTTCAGCAGGTAAAATGCATGCTCTATTGGGTTTAAGTCTGGAGACTGACTTGGCCAGTCTAAAACCTTCCACTTCTTGCCCCTGATGAACTCCTTTGTTGTTTTGGCAGTGTGTTTTGGGTCGTTATCTTGCTGCATGATGAAGGATCTCCCAATCAGTTTGGTTGCATCTTTCTTTAAATTAGCAGACAAAATGTTTCTGTAGACTTCTGAGTTCATTTTGCTGCTGCTATCATGTCATCAATGAAGATGAAAGAGCCCGTCCCAGAAGAAGCCATGCAAGCCCAAGCCATGACATTCCCTCCACCGTGTTTCACAGATGAGCTTGTATGTTTGGGATCATGAGCAGATCCTTTCTTTCTCCAAACTTTCGCCTTTCCATCACTTTGGAAAAAGTTAATCTTTGTCTCATCAGTCCATAAAACTTTTTCCCAGAATTTTTGAGGCTCATCTCTGTACCTTTTGGCAAATTCCAGCCTGGCCTTCCTATTCTTCTTGCTAATGAGTGGTTTGCATCATCTGGTGTAGCCTCTGTACTTTTGTTCATGAAGTCTTCTGCGAACAGTAGATTGTGATACCTTGACTCCTGCCCTCTGGAGGTTGTTGCTGATGTCACTAACAGTTGTTTTAGGGTCTTTCTTTACAGCTCTCGCAATGTTTCTGTCATCAACTGCTGATGTTTTCCTTGGTCTACCTGTTTGACGTCTGTTGCTTAGTACACCACTGGTTTCTTTCTTCTTCAGGACATTCCAAATGGTTGTACTGGCTATGGGCAATGTTTGTGCAATGGCTCTGATTGATTGTCCATCTTCTCTCAGATTCACAATTGCTTCTTTTTCACCCATAGACAGCTCTCTGGTTTTCATGTTGGTTCCACCTCTAAATGCAGTCTGCACAGGCAAAACCTATCGTACCCAATCTGAAACTGACCTCAGACATTCAGTGCTATTTATTGTTTGAATAATCAATGTAATTGAGAGACACCTGGGCAACAAAACACACCTGTCAGTCACATGTTCCAATACTTTTGCTCTCATGAAAAATGGGTGGGTTCAAACAAAAGGTGCTATCTTCCAAGTTGTGTATCAGATCCAGATGTAAATACCTGGAAATGAAAGCTGAAATGTTGATCTCTTGTCCCATATTCATCTTTTGATGTCAAACCCAAATATTTTCAGTCTACAACAAAAATAAAGGAATTGGCCTCACTGTTCCAATACTTTTGGAGGGCACTGTAGGTCGTAGAGATGTCTGCCTTCTCTTGAATATTATGCAACTAAATGGCACTCGGCTTGTGGTGCTCAAAGTGCCATACAAAAACCTTCTGCACTGCCATATGGTTGGTGGGTGTAGTTTGGTAGAAAGAAAATAGTTACTACATAAAACTGCTCACATCAAGGTCTGTGGATTATCTTGAGTAACTATGTCATGATTTCCGGAAAGAGACATTGCTGTTGAGTTTTTCAAATGTTCTTTTTTTGTGGTTTGGCACCACAAGCCAAGTGCCATCTAGTTCCTTTATATTCTTTTTTTTTTTTTTTCTATAAGATTATTTAGTGGACAGGACAGAGTGAAGATTGTGAAGTGGGGAGAGAGAGAGAGAGTGGGGGGACAACATGCAGCAAAGGGTTGCAAGCCGGAGTCGAGCTCGCGACCGCTGTAGCAAGGCATCACCTCTATACATGGGGCGCCGGCACTGTCCACTACGCAACCGACGCCCCTAGTTCCTTTATATTCGAGAGAAAGCAGACGTCTCTACAGCTGATATCTCCAACAGCAAATCACACCAAAACAATCTAGACTGATAAATATCACTACAGATAAGAGGGACAATATGTATTTTTCATTTTGGGATGAACTTTTCCTTTAAAACCTATGTTTTCTGCAGTTTTTGTTTAGATAATCATTTTTTAAATGCTTCAGCTTGTCATGAATCCCTTTGTTTATATATAGTCTATAGCCCTCCCAGTGGTCATTGTGAGGCATGGCAGGCTCCACACATGTCAAGTCATTCACTTGGCTTCTGTCATACTGGTGAACAACAGCAGAATGCTTCCATCTCTGCAGTGTGTGTCCTTGCTGTTGCTAACATTAAATGTATTTCTTGAAACTGTCTCTGTTCCCAGATCCTGCTAGGACAGAAGTACACCTTCTCAGTAGACTGGTGGTCTTTCGGTGTGCTGGTGTATGAGATGCTGATCGGTCAGTCACCTTTCCAAGGCGACGATGAGGAGGAGCTGTTTGAGTCCATCAGGTCGGACACCCCTCACTACCCTCGGTGGATCACCAAGGAGGCCAAGAATCTGATTGAACTGGTACCTAACAGGATACATTTTATTAAGCATACTTTCTTCCATATATGCAGAGACATCATAGATATGAAGGGATTTCAGTGCTTACATTCCTCCTAATCAAAACATAGCATTAAAGGGAGCTGTTCTTTGTTGTTTCGCTAATAAATTGTCTTCTTTCTCTGCATCATTATTCCAGTTGTTTGAGCGAGATCCCAGTCGCAGGTTGGGCGTGGTGGGAGACATCCGCACCCATCCATTCTTCAAAACCATCAACTGGCCAGCACTGGAGAGGAGAGAAGTGGATCCTCCCTTTAAGCCCAAAGTGGTATGAGTCTTTGATTTTTTTTTTTTTCTGAACAAACTCTGTAGGTACCTGAAATGCTTCTGTGTAAATATGATTGCATGTATCCAGGACACCGATTACTCCACTGTGCTTTGTTACATTAACCTAACTGATATCCCTGACCTGCCACCCACAGAAATCCCCCAGTGACTGCAGCAACTTTGACCGAGAGTTCCTGAGTGAGAAGCCGCGGCTCTCCCATGCGGACAAGAACCTCATCGATTCCATGGACCAGGCGGCATTCGCTGGCTTTTCCTTCGTAAACCCCAGACTGGAAAACATGATAAGCAAATGAAAAAAAAAACCAAAATGGCTCCTGTGCGGACACTGTGTAAGCCCAGCACTTCGAAACAGGCTCTTATCCTATTCCCTTTATCTTACCTATATGGTCTAAGTTCATCTGGAGGGATAACAAGAACATAAAAACTTCAGTTCTTCTATCAGAGGATGAGAGATAAAAATGAATCCAGGATATTTGCTGGTGTCTAAAGCAATAATCTTGTCTCAGCTGTCAAACTGTATAGGTGTAAAAAAAATAATATAAAGAACCAGGAAATTAAGGGAGATTCCTTTGAAACAAGGGTTACCATAATCAATGTTGGGGGGATAGTCAATGATGTGGTATGTATTTTCTTACTTTTGTCATTTTTCCTTGTGATGACACTTTAAATCTGTACGAATCATCTAATGTACTGTATCTGGAAATTAAAATTCACAGGCATGAGCATGTCACTTCTATTCAGTTATGCAAGTATTTACACCCGGCACTGCACATGCAAGTCAAAAGAGTTCACAGTACATGCGGTATTCACTCCCACCCTGTGTGCTTTGCCTGCTGCATGCCTCCTATTACACCCCACCTGTTTGTGTGTTACCGCATGCATACAAATTTGTGGGTGTGTGCAGGTATCTTTAAGATGCAAATGGTGCTACTGTAGTCAGACACAGAGTCTGTTGTTGAATGAGTCCTCAGTTGATCCCTCTGGCAGACATAGGTACCATACAAAGAACTGCACTATAAAGTTGGGGAAAATTTAAATCCCCCAAACTGAAGTCATGTTATTGCCTAAGTGAATAGTTTCCTGCACTGTCTTGAGATATTGGACGTGCTCAGCACATCCCAGAGTCTCACATAACCTCAAAAGCGCTAATCTGTTTTTTAAATGAAGCACAGGATTTCTACATGGCAGTCTTCTGTGTGCCGTCCGTGTCAAATTTCTTGCTGTAAATCAAACTGAAGCATAGTGCACACAATCATTCCATACATATTAATTTCCTGGGCTGTCGTCAGACTTATTGGAAAGAGTTGCAGCAGCGGTATGGTACTATACCTGTACATCTGTATGTGTTGAAGGATGTGTTGTTTGTGTGGGAGCGATGGGCATTTCACTGTTAAGCATTGGGTCTTTGAAATGTGTTATATTACTTGAATGTAGGAATTTTAACATGAAAATAATAGCGCTGTATATGGAAAATGAATATGTACATTACATGGACCTGCCTGTGAGTTATGGGTGTACTTTTTTTACTCTCCTCATCTTTTACATCTGATTATAAATAAATACATTTTAAACTCTTACATCCCTGTCAGCCATTTTGTATTTCATGTGTTGAAGACTTGTACATCACAAGGTCTCTTATGTAGACAAAAATCCTATTGTAAAGGCATGCATACCACAGAAATTACAGGACTAATCGCTGCATTCTTGCTGTTATGATGTAAGTCCTCTGGCCACTGCTGGTTTCCAGTGTTTGCTATATTTCATGATGCCTATACCACACACTGGCAGAGCTTCTGCAGCACCTCACCTCTGATAATGTGAAGACCTGTACAGGCACAAAAACATTTCCAAGTGCCACAGGGATTTTGTTACTATGAGAGAGAGAGAGAGACCTGTCGAGCTTTACAGCCATCTAGCGTTCAGGTGATATAACTGCACCTTCGAGTGTGGACGAAAGGCGAGGAGACATTCCTGCAGTGCGCACGGTTTATGACCTGTCCTCGTCCTCTGTCCCCAGCAGTAATCCCTGCCTGCTGCAGGATGTGAACAGTGAACAAATAACTAACGAGAGAACAGCAGCCACCTGCACTAAGTCACAGGACCTGTTCAAGTTGTTGAGACATTTGCCTTTATGCAAACAGCAGTATAGACCGATGCAGCATTAAAGTTGTGGACCCTTTAAAATGAAAAGACCCCACACAATTGTCAGATTAAATAGCATTAATCAAAAAGCTGAATAATAATAGGAATGAATATGGTTTTTTTCTCCTTTTTTAAAACCCGTTTTCCTTATATAAGCCTGCTGTTTGAAAGCTCACATTGAGAGCATCTCTAGACTTTAGTAAAATGACTGAATGAATTTGGGAGTAAATGCCTGCCACCTTTTGATTTATTCATAGCACTCCGATTGTTTCGACTGTTCATGCAAGATCCGATCGCTTTTCTGTAGCCCACATTTATTGTATCCTACTGTTTCCACCTCAGCGCATGCATATTTTTTTCCCTTTTGTTATAATAGGCATCTGAAGGGTTGGTCTATTGTGGAGGATTATATGAGGCAGGAGCATATGTATGGTCCAAGTGAGCGGCAAAATCTCTTTCAGGCTCTGGAAAACGCTTTCCTAAACGAGAAACACGCTTATTTAATAAAGAAATCACATTTCTGATAGAGAATGGATCGACTTTGAACATTACACTCACAGTGCCAAGCCATATTTCCAGTAGTTTCTCCCGCCCTCCCCTCCAAACAAAAAAAAAAAAAAAAAAACGACTTCATATCCCTGTGCAGCAGAAGTACCATACCAGCAATGCCATACTATAGAATCCAGTCATTATGTGAGGGCGTTATTGTGATTTATTTATTTAAAAAGTAGTTGCCCGTTCATATTTTCACTGCGCATTCTGTGTCTATTTTATCCACTTCACAAATATTACATTAGAACTCGAGGTCACCTTCAATAACACAATCTATACTTCATTACAAAACGAATTGCTTTCTCGTGGTGAAAAAACACCCCACTTATCGAAAGTGGGTCGATTATATGTGCAATTAATTCCAGCTCAACCATTAACTAAGTGTTGATTCCGCTGGGGATAAAACCCCTTAACGACCGGGCAGGTGAAGCCTCGTGTCTTTGTGCGAATTAACGCAAACCGGAAGCGTTGTGCTTTATTCTTTATTCTTTTGAGGCTTTTCACAGATTTTGGTCTTGATTCTGGTAGTGTGATATTTTATTGTGTGTGTGAAGATGGAAGTCAGTGTGATGTAGCCGGGCTCAGAGGCATATAGGCGGCAGAACATGCGCAGTGGCCATTTGTGCCATATTGGAATGAGGTCGTGAACGAGAACTGCGTCAAGCTAGCGTGACGCAGCGACAGCGAAACCGGAAGTCTCGCGATATAATCCTCAACAGAAAAAGAACAGCCGTTGTTCGGCTTACATTTTGAACTTCCGCTCTGTTAGCCGTTTTATTTTGAAACGTTTAACCTCGGGCTCTCGGTTTTTATTGACGTTAGCTTAACGTTGCTGCGAGCGAGCAGGCGGAGAGGAACGGCATCTAAAAACCGACTTGGAAAAACTACTTAGCGGTAAGGTGCGAATTTTGCGACTAAATATTCACGTACTGTGTGTTGTTAGTGACGAATTGCTAACGGTGTTTTGCATTGTGGTGGCGCATTCGTCTTTTTTCCCGTCTCTCAAAAAGATGAGTTGGGTTCGGTCGAGTGTAAGCGCCCTTATTGCTCGTCAGCCTGCTCTTATTGCTCAAGCCGTGACGTTCAGTAACTTGACTCGGACACAGGCGATTTTACCATGTGTCCAGTGAGTCCCCCGCGGTCGTTACACGTTTAGGACCGCGTGTTTATTCATTAGACAGCAATTTGATAATTATCTCAGTCGGTATTTGTCATGTTCTCCTCAGTGTGAAAGTTAGACCGTCGGCGCTGTAGTCTCTGTCTCTGCAAAGCCATTGCGTTAATGGCCCATCTCTGTTTCTGAATGCTGCGGTTAGTCCATACGAGCAGTGCAATCTTAAGCTAGTTTCAGTTCAAGGATTGTGTGGAAATTTCCAGTGATTTGCCCTTGAATAACTCAGTATATTTATAATGTCGAAGCCTTACATAATGAAGGTTGCACGACCTCAGCCGATCTGTGCAGCTCTCACCAAACAGCGAAATAAACTCATCTGCTTGTAAATGCTATTCGCTTTGGTGTGCTTTTAACAGCTGATGGACGGGATGATGCTCTGTCAGAGGGCTGTCATTTTGTTGTCATATTCCACGTTGACTTATTGCAACCTATTTTTCTTCCGGCGCTTAACTTCCCCATTGTGCAACTTGAGTGATCCGCTGGCAGCGCTGCTCCAGTTGACGTGCCGCTATGCAATGGCTACGATGACTGCAACTGAATGAAACCGCCTTGGTGTTTATGTGTGCTACTGTGTGGAGAAAATGTGGATTCCATTTTTTCATTTCAGCACCCTATTTGTTCTGAAGTTGTAGCAGGTCGGCCAGCTGACAGTGCTGGAGAGCAGTCTGACAGAGCTTGTGGATTACCATCCGCTGAGCAGGCCAGCTCTTAAAGCTTGGTCTTCACAGCAACCCTTTGTTGGCTACCATAACCTCCATATTAGTGACAGTTGGGGAATTTAAAGTTGTTTAAAAAGTCTTGGCAGGTGTCATGTCAAGTCATCATAAAACCCTGGAGCCTACACTCAACTTTATTCACCTGCCTTTTTAAAAGGGTAGTTTCACCTACATTATAAGATTTACCCAGATGGTTTGGTGCCAAATCTTGAGACATGTGTCAGTTAGATGTCTGCCACCACCCCAACACAAAAGAGGTGAGCTGAAGTTTTATTTGTGGTGCTCACTGCATTGACTGCAAAACAAGACAAACCACAGACCTCACTCTAGCCAGGTTTCGCTAGCACCACTTTCTACCAAAGAAATAGTTCCTTTGAAAACTGTTCACAGTGTCGAGTAATTCAGACTTTGTTGAACAGAGTTTCTGGAAACAGCATGGATAGATTACAGAATGAGCCTACCTGGCACAAGCCCTCGAGTCCAAACTGTCAGGGCCCCCCTGGCCTTTATCTGCAAAATGTCATTCAGATTAACACACACTGACAAGGAAGAGAGTCAAAATGACCCGGAAGAGATGCAAAAGACCTGCAAAGAGACACTAAATATCTACTGAAAGGCACAAAACCACCAGAAAGAGACACAAAATGACCACAAAGAGGTTCAAAATAACAAAAACAGGCAAAAACATCACAAAGTGTGTGTGTTGCTGCCATGTTGGAGAGGTGGTGGGGCCCTTTGCATAATCCAGGGGCCTATTGTTCTCTAATCTGCCCATAGGAAGAAGATGTTGCAATTAAATTTTTTAGTGTAACTTGTCAATGCTTTGACCACCACAAACAAAATTCTGATCTTCTCTGTTGTATTTAGGTGAAAGCAGAAGTTTCAGACACTCATATATCAAATATATATCAAAACCTGGCATCATAAAACCAAAATTATTCATTCAGATTCATCACATATGCCTAATTAAACCAGTGTAAAAAATAATTAGATACACAAATAAGTGCTCCTCTGACATAGGTTTTGTTTACGTTGGATTATGGACACCAACAGAAGGACATGCTAATTTTCTGCTACATTAGTGCTTATAATGTGATGTCATACTGGTGATCAGCAGATGTCGTTAAATTGTATCGGCGAAATGTTTCAGCAGCCAGTTTCATTTCATTGAAAGTCTGATTTTATTTCCTGCAGTAGCTGACCACTGTGTGTAAATATGCATTTTGTAAGATTGCATTTTTCCACACGGGGACCTCAGAGGTTCAGGAGGGCTTGTTTAGAAATGCTCAATCGCATGCTAAGTGCTGATGAGAATATGATTCCGTAAGTGCTTGTAAAGAGGATGTAGTGTGGATCTCAGTTGTCTGCGAGTGCTTGTTTGTGTGTGTGTGTGTGTGTGTGTGTGTGTGTGTTTGCGTGGGTGTGTGCACATTTGGCCCTTTCTCTCTCAGGTTCAGTCAGAGTCTCGGGTGGTGCACAAAGATTCAGGCAGACTGCTGCTAGCTGCCGTCCACACAGACCACTTGCTTTATATGAAAAAGGGGAAGTTGCTTTTCTTCCTGTGTGCCTGTGTGAGCCGAGGCCATGCTGTTGTGCAAAGTTAAGTGCTGCAGAAATCTAAAGCTTAGGCAGCTGAATACGAGCAGATATTGAAAGCTTATCTTTGTATGTTTCAAATGATAGTTCTCAGAAGTGTTGCAATCAATATACCTCTTAGAGAGGGTATGAACCCTGTTTTATTCTTTTGAGAATGACTATGTTTCATCTTGTTTTAATTGCAGCAGAAACATTCCATACATAGTGAAGCCATGAAATCAATGGTCCCAGGAGATTGTAGGTAGATGTAGCAGAAGTACAAAACAGAATCAGTTTAAAATCCTGCCATGAAGTCGTAAATTATATAATATATAAGCTCAACATCAGATGTTAGAATACAGCTTCTTAACTTTAGGCCTGTATTTCTCCTCCTGTCTCCATTGCTCTTTTTTCCACG